TAAATACAACAAAAAACACTAAACAACTTCATTCTCCTCGAGTTGGTCGCTCGCCATGGCTTGACCGTCATCCTCCTCTTTGGCTTCTGGCATGACCATGACCACCCGATGATAAGGGCATGTTTCTTCGGTGACTAGCTGGACGCCAGGGTTCACCATCTAGAGCTGTTCCACAGCACAGTTAAAACCGACCTCGAGAACCCCTAGACAATCCTGCTCGAGCTTCTAGATCTTCAACACCAGATCGGCCCGATATGCCATGAGCTTCTCTTCAGCGGACTCATCTTTAACAGGCTTAGCTTTAGACTCTAGCTCGGCCACCAAGGTCTACAGTCGACCCCATTCCTCCTTTGTCTCCTTCAGCTCCTCCCTCATTTCGTTCATCCCATGAAGGAGGCGCACATGGTTTTCATACCTCGTCTGAGCCTCCTGCATGTCGCTCTCTGCCTTGTTTTTCTCCACCTCAAGGACGACGTCCTCGCCCTGTAGCGTCTTCATCTTGGAAGTAGGGTTGGTTTCATCGTTAAGGACCAGAGTCGTTGCAAAGATCCTCATCATGGCGGCCATGTCCGTGGTCAATGTTTTTCTTCGGGCCGCCCGGTCAATCCTCATGATCGCCTTGGTTTTAGCCTCGGCCACCATCGGGGAGTGGTCCCTAGAGAAGAAGTCCCGCTGGGTGTGGCAAGGTGGTAGCACAAACTTCTCAGCGAGTGCACTCTCCTCAAGGTCGACTAGCACAGGTCCCTCAGTGCGCTGCCTTTTCGATGAAGTATCTTGCGTGGGAGGAGACTGGCTGCATTGAAGGGAGGAAGAACCACCAGCTCCTTGGTTGGGTCCCATCATCTGCTAGACTTGGGAGACTCTGCTCTTGCCTTTCTTCCCTCCCTTTGTCACCGCGAGCTTTAGTATGCGTTCCTGCGTGTTTGACATTTGGCCTGCAACAGTGAACAAAGAAAACCAAGTCAGTAACAAGAGAAAAAAGACGGGAACCCCGCCAAAAAATATATTCATTACCTAAAAACCTAAAGGCCTCTTCGCGAGAACCACACTCGAGGAGAGCCTCGGTGTTAATCAGTCAAGCCTCGCGACAAATCTCCCTGTGCTCGTTGAGGATGAAATTCCTATCCTTATGCACACACTTGGCGGGAGTGAAGCTGGAGACAAAATTGACCATCTTTTGGTAAGCTAACCGGTCACTACCATCCAGGTCGACATGCTTCATAATATAACCATTCGTGCCCTGGTTGAAATGGTCCTCGACCCACTCAAGCGGAAATTTTGACACAAAGGTTTCCTCACACTCCCTGTGCTCCTATTGACCACGAGGTTGTATAAAGAGTCAACGGCCGCATGCGACACGAGCTTCACAATGTAAAACCTATCCTTTAAGGTGCGGACAAAATCTTGGTATGCCCGAAACAGCTTCCTCGGCTGCTTCAAGGATACCCAACTGTGCCTACCTTCGAAGGATTGGCGATGGAGATGGAAGGTGCGGAAGAACATGGGAAGTGTAACCCCGATACGAAGATACTCACAAACAAGCTCGAATGCCCGCACAAACGCTATGATATTTGGGTGCAGTTGTAAAGGTTCCAGACGGAGCCACCAGAACACTCCCCTCTGAAAGTTGCTGAAGGGGAGGCGCATCCCCGCTTCATGAAACGCAAATTCATACATAGAGAACCTCATATCCCAAAAACTCGAGTAGATGTGGGGTTTTCCCTTGGGTTTTTAGACCATCCAGCTCGTGGAGGAACCTTCCAGACGGTCCTCGACAGTGGCAAAAGCGTCCGTGTCATCAAAGGCGAAGCACGACGCTATAGTAAGAGGTTCTTGCCCGACCCAGTCTGCGGGCGTACAAACATGTTTAGCTCATTCGACCTCGACGAGAATGTCGGGCTCCGACTCGTCATCAATATGGATGACGCCCTCAGTCTTTACAACCATTTTACTTTTAAAGCAGAGGAAAACAGTGAATTTGATTTCAAAGATCAAATCCACCCTTCAACCATAAATCAAGTGAAAGGGAGAAAGGAAGGATAGGAAGCCCAGAGCAATGGACCCCCTCGTCGACGACCATTTGTCCCCAATTGGGAGGACCCCGACACGCGTGAGGAGACCTTGAGTGAAACCTCCCCGACTGTGATGTTCCTCAATTGGAAGGATCCCGACACGCGTGGGGAGACCCTAGGTAAAAGCTCTTTGGTTGCGATGTTTCCCCAATTGGGAGGACCCTGATATGTGCAGGAGACCCTTAGGGAAACCTCCCCGCGATGGCCGTACATTTACGAGGAGCAAGGCTCCCCGATTGCGATGTTTCCCAATTGGGAGGACCCTGACACGCGCGGGAGACCCTTAAGGAAACCTCCCCACGATGGACGTGCACTTATTGTGAGCAAGGCTCCCAAAGGCATTCATCCTAGCCCCCCGAGACCTTCTACATAGGTCCCCGAGGCATTCATCAGCAACTTCATGAAGATCCCGGAATCTTCATGAACTTCCCGACGTCCTTGCCGAAAACTTCATACCTTGGTCGGAAACTTCATAAGACAGATCGGGAAATTCATAGCTTTCCCGAAAACTTCTTGAGAGTCGTTGGAAAACTCATAACACTATAGAAAGGAAACAAAAACCTACTTGTAGGAGGAGCATCTGGACGACGGAGAGTGGTGACAATAAGGGAGATGACGGCAGCGACGACAAGAAGAACTTGGAGAGGATTCTGGCAGATAGGAAGAGGAAATGTGCAAATGAGAGGAACTTTCCCTCTATTTATAAGCCTGGCATGAGAAGCGAGGCGACAATAGGTACTCAAGTGCCCCTATGCGTAGCTGCCCTAGGCATTAATTACGTGTGACACGTGTCGCTAGGGGACACCACGCGTGTCCCCTCAGCTTCACCTCGTGCCCGGAGATCAAGCACGCTCGTTCACTTTCCATCTCCCCATGACCTACTATTTTGGCGGACATCTATAACTTCTGGCCGCGCGCACAACCCGACTCTGTATGCCGGACAAGCTGTCCGTCTTCCAAACTGATCCTTGACACTCCAACCAGCTCTTAAGTCATTACTCATCCACTTAGGACCAACGATTTAGGGGGCTCTTGTTCTGGACTGGGTTGAGACCTGCCCCACAGTCGGGCAGGCCCAACCCAATACTACATTAGGGAGGCCCAACAATGTCTAGTCCTCTCATGTCGGGCACGCATCTCAGCAAGGCCCCTCAGTCAGGCAGACTGTCTAGCACATGGAGGACTCACGCGTCTCCCCCACGTTCTCCATGTGTTCCCCACGCGGGAACACGTCATCAGGCAACTACCCACTTCCGAAAGAGCTGGTTAGCCGACCTTCCGAAGATTACGAGGCAGTTGATCCAGGACGAAGACCACGTGCTGGTCTTCCCTATGCCACGTAAGCCCTAGAAGTTACTCTATTGGACCTTGCAATCCAGTCCAATGCCAAGTAACTATTGGCCCTGCGCTGGGGGCACATTATAAATACCCTATTTCACTAGAGGGTCAGGTAGTCTATTTTCTACATCTATTATCTTTGTACTTGCACTTTCTAACTTCGTTACTCACTTAAGCATCAGAGTACCTTGCAGGTACACCCACTCCTCTTCCATAATATCAGTAATCACAGGAGCTCACGACGCGTGACAGACTGCTAATTCATTTCTGATCAGGTAAGATCCTAAAGCTTTTGCAATCTTAATACTTGATTTCCATATTTTTCTTCTTTGATTTTTTTCATTAATAAGCTATTATTTTCATCAAAACTAAGCTAAGATATATGAAGAACATCTTATTCACAATCTCTCATTTTTTATGATGGCTAAATAGATTGATGTGAAACTTTTGGTTTATACTTTATAACTCTCCCAATCTAGTATATCTTCTCCTTTATTTTACAAGTTATGTATTTGTCTTTGGTATCATGAAAAATAACAAAAACAACCATATCTCTTATATAATTTATTTTATTTGACTTTATATTAAATTATACTTTTTAAATTTGTTTATAATTTAAACTTATTGTTCTACTTCATTCCGTTACTTATTCCTTTACAAATAATTTTAAACTTTGAATTTTTCAAAAAAATTATTTTCAATAAAATATTTTTCAAGCTTCACCATTCTCTCTTGTATTTGAAGTTGATTATCCAATATTTTTGAAAAAATTAAACATAAATTTATTAGCTGTCAGAAGAGATGTTTTTAAGAGACTTTAAAGTAATATTTATTGACTAATGATGGAGCAACATATGAAACCATAAATGAAATTAATAAACCACATGACTAATTAAATTAAATAATAATCATATACCATTAAAAATTTAAAATAAAATATCATATTTTTATTTTTAATAACTATATAAACACAAAAATAATATATATACAAACGGAATAAAATTAACCGACTCACATTAACGTAAGGTCTATCTTATTTTACATTTAGTCAATAAATTTTTAATATTTTTATTCAGGATGTTGACATTCTTAAATATACATGAATCTTTTTAGTAATAATATTATTTTATTTGACTTATATCAAATTATATTTTGTAAACATTTTAATAATTTAACTTTATTATTCTACATTAGTTTTTTGCATTTTAAAATATATAATAATAAATTTAAAAAAAGAATTTTAAATATAAAATTAATTTTTAAATTATTTTTTCTAATTGATTTTTTTAACATGTGCTCCAAAGCACAAGTTAACATTACCCTAATCTATTTTAAATGTTTGTGATAACCTATATGCCAAGGTCATGAAGTTTAGCATACGCAATAGTGGTCAGATACAATACAATCGTGTGAGACTCAAAACCCACCCAACCTTATAAATTTCTGGAACTTTCTGTTCTTTCTCAACCCATCAAAACCTTTTCTAACGCCGCAGAAAACCGAAACAATCTTCAACAACCACACAACGGTGAACCACAAACTGCAAAGCTGACGAAGAGAAAGCGAGAAGAAGAAGCGCAACAACCTGCCATGGGTGTTGACTATTACAAGCTTCTTCAGGTTGATAGGAACGCTAAAGAGGATGATTTGAAGAAAGCTTACAGAAAACTCGCTATGAAGTGGCACCCTGACAAAAACCCTAACAACAAAAAAGAAGCGGAAGCCAAATTTAAGCAAATTTCTGAAGCTTATGATGTAAGTTTTGAGTACAATTTTGATTGGATCTCGATTAAAGTTTTGATTTTTATTGTTTTTGGATTCTGGGTTGTGCTGATTTTGAGTTGGGATTATTTTTTCTTATTGTTTGTTTAGGTTCTGAGTGATTCTCAGAAGAGGGCTATCTATGATCAATATGGGGAAGATGGTTTGAAGGGTCAAATGCCACCACCATCGGAAGCTTTTAGTGGTGGTGGACATAGTTATTATTCCCCTGGAGATATACCGTCTTCGTTTCGGTTCAATCAGCGGAATGCTGATGATATATTTGCTGAGTTTTTCGGGGTTTCAAGTCCCTTTGGGGGGATGGGAGGGATAGGAAGAGGGGCGGGTGGTTCGGGTGGCATGGGAGTAAGGCTTCCGAATGGCGTCTTTGTTGAGAATGTGTTTGGATCCTTTGGGGATGGAGGAGGAAGTGGAGCTCATGCGCATCATCAAAGTGCTCCTCGTAAGGCACCGTCTATTGAGAACAAATTGCCGTGTGCTCTTGAGGATATATATAAAGGGACCACAAGGAAGATGAAGATCACCAGAGAAGTTATTGATGTTCATGGGTTAGTTGTTGTTCTTACCTTCCTAGTTCTTTTTGGGTTCATTTTGCAATAATGTGTTTACTGTCATGGATTATTATATGATGTGTTTGCTGTGTAACATTGCTGAGATTCACATGTTTTAGTAAAAGTACAAACACTCGCGGATTAACGGGAGAAGAGGCTGATTGGCCTTGTAGATTGGCGATTAGCAATTTTGGTTTTATTCATAGCTGATTCTTGTTTGTTCTATTTAGAAGCAATTATTATGCCAGTTGTATCATTCATTTATCCTTGTTTTTGTTAATCCACATATCTTGCTGAGAACATGCTAGTTGACTTTGTAGTTTGTAGTTCTGGATGATGCAATGTTTGTGGCATTTGCTTCTTTGTTGAAAGATGAAAACTACTTAGAAGTTATACTAATTGTTTAAATGATTACAATATGCTTTGATTCATACCGCTCTTCTCCCAATGTGATATACCGAGGCTTCAGAATTAAATTGAATCAACTTTTCAATCACCCAAGTTAGGTTTGCCTTGAGTTTTTCCTTATAGAACAATTTCTTGGTAGGTTTTGCACTGGTAGCAGAAGTATTACTCAGTTGTTCGTAGTTGACATCAAATAAAATGTATATGCCTTATATGAAAGCTAGAATTCTATTGTTATAAATTTGTACTGTTTCTATTCTAAGTAATGAGTTGATGAAACTTTAAATTTTAATCATGAAGTACTGTTTATAGCTAGTAAATAGCTGCTTGGCAAATTGCTCTTTAAAGGACTTTTGATTTAATAACCATGTTGCATAGTTACACTCAAAATATGATTAAAAGTAGTATTTTTCGGATAAGGAATACTAGAATTGTGATGTTTAACAATGCTCTTTCACATCAGATAACAGTGTATAGAAACTGTGGATCCCATCGTGCATTTGCTATGAAGTTTGTGTGTCTGATTTTTGAGATTATATTATTACTAGTCCTTTTTCATTCTAGTCTAGGAGTAGAGAAGTCTTGTGCAGATGAACATCTCGATTGCAGATGAACATCTCGATGAAGTCTGTTACTATGATGTTTTATCCTTCTATTGTTTTATGTTGCAATAGCTTGGTGTTTGTTAAATGGAATTAATAATTGGTATGCCCTAGTCTAATGTAATAATGGGGTTATACATCTTGTCGGGGTTGGCATTTTCATTGTTCTAGCTAGGATCATGCATTGTCGTTCTGGCATAATGGATTTTCTATCTTAGTCTGCATTATATCCTCTAACTAAATCATCTAGAATTCCAGATAAGGTTTGAATATCTGAAATTTATGTATGATACTGAATATTGATATCTCTCGTTATGGAATTGTTAGTATTGTAGAATGCCCTATTGATAATTTTTCTTTCATTTCCTTCTTGGTGCAGCAAACTCATGCAGTTGGACGAGATCTTGACGATCAACATCAAACCTGGTTGGAAGAAGGGCACAAAGATCACCTTCCCGGAGAAGGGAAACGAGCATCCAAATTCAATACCAGCTGATATCGTGTTCGTGATTGATGAAAAACCACACAGCGTCTTCACCCGGGAAGGAAATGATCTGATTGCCACTCAGAAGATCTCTCTTGCAGAAGCATTATCCGGTTGTACAGTGAATCTCACCACACTCGATGGTAGAAACTTGACTATAGTTGTCAACAATGTCGTTCATCCGGAGTACGAGGAAGTTGTTCCAAGAGAAGGAATGCCACTGCCAAAGGATCCAACAAAGAAGGGAAACTTGAGGATAAAGTTCAACATCAAATTCCCATCTCGGCTCAATGCGGATCAGAAGTCGGGATTGAAGAAATTCTTGGCTACATAAAGTAAGAAATTAATTGGCACAACTTTTGTGGCTTCTTTGCATGAACAAAATGTAAATTAAATTTACAATAATCTTGAGAAGCCTATTGGGAAATTTGATTGTTTTTTTTATATAGAATATCATTACTTAGTATAATAGTGATTCGATTTTTGGATTGAGATTTGGTCTATTTTATGGTTGGTTATACAATAGGCTAAAATTTAGTTTTATTTATAACAGTGGTTAATGTTCAGTAAGATTTTGGTTCATGCTGAACACCAATAATATTCAATTTCATGGGATAAGTCTCAGTCTCACATCATTCATGTAGCTGCTGTTCCGTAAGCTTTCATGTATACGAGCTTCTTTTGTTTTGGTTGGAGAGGAAATATTTCAGGAAGCAAGGTGAATCTATTTTTGATATGCAGAAACAGTTCATTCATGGTAAAAGTATTTGCATGGTTTAGGTTAAAACCATTGTAAATGAAGATTTGCTGAATTAAGTTCTGAGGCAAGTCAAAGTTATGCAGATGGGAAATAATGCCAAGAAGTGTATGGTGATCGTTAAATTGTTTGATAGGCAAGTATATTTCTTGATCCTTTTGATCAAGTTTGGTTCTATGCACATGAAGGATAGAGGCCTATGAATGAGTAAAGGCATAACATAGTGCGCCAAATATTTTGAATGAGTTGATGTCAAGAATTGTCATAAAGAAATCTTTAAGGTGATTTGTTATGTAGAATTGTCATAAAGAAATCTTAAAGGTGATTTGTTATGTAGAATTGCCTTTGGATAAAGTTTGATTCTATGCACATGAAGAATAGAGGCGTAACATAGTGAGTCAAATACTTTGAATGAGTTGATGTCAAGAATTGTCATAAAGGAATCGTTAAGGTGAGTTGTTATGCAGAATTAAAATGGTCATTCTATTTATGATGAATGACATAGGATCAATAAGGTTTTGATCATTTATTTTGGTATATATGGCTTCTGCAAATATTGACTAGTGTCGATGCTTTATTTCAACCAGGAATTTCAACACAATATTTTGGCTGATCAGCACCATTGGTTTAACGTGAACTCAAACCCATTATTTGTTTATGATAATAAAGTTTTGGATATGTAAAGATACTTATGTTTTGTTTTTAAGTAATATCATTCATACAAATCTGGTGTGGTCATCAAAGGATGCCTTGAAAACTAGCTGATAACTCATAAATTAGTTGATAATTAATAGTTTATAACTGATCACTGATATCTTATAGATGATGATTTATAGTTGATTAATTCATTTGAGTGTTTGGTAAATTAACGGTTATATTAATTAATAAATGCAAAATGACATAAAAAAAACATTTTTGATTTTAAAAAATAATGATCTTATTTATTAAATTAGTTTTTGTTCAAACGTATTAAATGCAAATTTTTTAAAATATAAATATAAAATTAAACCTAATATAAAAATATATTAAACGGTTATATATACATATTTTAAAACTCAAGTAATAAATAATTAAAATAATAATTTAAAAATAATAAAAAATAATTCAATGTTATGAATCAAAATATTTCATTAGTAATAAAATGGAAGATGAATTGTATTGTGAATTTGTTCTATAAAAATAATGATTAATCTTTCTTATTCTCATAATTAAAATATAATTTAAATCATAATAAAATATAAAGGGTAAAAAATGGGAGTTTGATAAAATAGTGAGGATAAAAATGAAAAAAAGAAAAAGTCGTAAGTTAAAAGTTACAAACTTAAAAACTACTTCAAATAGCTTTGAAAAAAATAAAACAAAACTAAAAGCTCTTTCTTGATCTTACCAAATAAACTCTACTCATAACAATGAAACAATTTATGTCCCTCAAATGTCAAAAGTGCGGCAATTCAAATATGCTAGAGACAATATACTGACTTGAATTAAATGGTGATTTTTTTTGTCTCGCTAAATGATATATGTCTCAAGTGACTTTATTGTCAAATGAAAATGATGAATACAACTGAGCTATTTGCAATAGTTTCTTATGAGATACATGATCAAATATAATATGCCACGTGAGAATTACAGAGTTATGTGTACTTAAAGTATTGATCGAGTTTGTTAGAGATATAATACTTTAGGCTTATTTTGATATGTTGTATTAAAAATGCATACTTATTAACTACCACTGTGATTTTCTTGTGTATATAAGTCAAACCTTTTTTAACTATATTTTTAATAAATGAAACATAAGCTTTCGATCTCTTTTCTTTCTCACTTTCTTTATTTTTATCTAGTTCTGCTACTGTGATTCTCTTGTGTATATAAGTCAAACCCCTTTTAACTATACTTTTAATAAATGAATCATAAGCTTTCGATCTCTTTTCTTTCTTACTTTCTTTATTTTTATCTAGTTCTGGCTATAGGTACTACATTGCTTTTGTAGACGGCCATTCAAAATACACATGGTTGTACTTTCTCAAACAAAAATCTGAAGCCCTACAAGCATTCAAACTGTTTCATCTCTTTGTTCAAATACAATTCAGTGTAAACATTAAGGCTGTCCAGTCTGACTTTGGCGGAGAATTTCACTCATTTACTAAGTTTCTAATAGAACTAGGCATTACGCACAAGCTAACATGCCCTCACACTTCTCACAAAAATGACAATGTGGAGAGAAAACATAAGGAAACTATTGAAATGAGATTTACCCTGTTAGCTCATGCCTCCCTACCTCTAGATTATTGGGATCATAGTTTCTCTACTGCTACTTATCTAATCAATAAACTACCCACAACTGCCCTGACTAAAGCTAGTTCACCCTTTCATGCCCTGTATGGCAAGCAGCCAGATTACAAGTCCTAAAGAGTTTTTGATTGTTCATGTTTTCCCCTATTGAGACACTTCAGCAAACATAAGCTACAGTTGATAAGGCAATAGTTCATATACCTTGGAGTATCTCCTAAACATAAGGGTTTCAAATGTCTTAGTAAAGAGGGTAGAATTTTCATCTCTAAAGATGTTAAGTTCAATGAGAACCATTTTCCCTTTCCAATTATGTTTCCTGGCCAACAACCACATCAAAAGCCTATCCCTACAGGAGGTATCAATAGGATATTTACCTACTGCTATCAATTTTGTCCCTCATACCCATGTTTCTTCCTTTTCTCCAACACTAAGTAATAATACACAAACTAACAATCTAGAGGTTCCTAATTCAACCAATCAAGTCCCATCTCTTGATGAACATAGTCCCCTACAATCTGACAATCAGGAACATAACCTTGAGATTTTTTCACTGTTCTGCCCTATATTAAAATAATAAATCCCATAATGCCCCACATTTAAAAATATTTACCAGAGTGCTCCAGATTTAAACAAGTTCGCCCAATGAATGGGTGAGCTAGTGAAGAAAGAATTTTAGGGGGTGCATGTTCGTCCTTTCATTGGGCGAGCTTCTGGATGCTGAAATGGGTTTCGTGGGCTCGTCCATTGAATGGACGAGCGTGTGCTGATGCGTATTTTTTATTTTATTTTAATTATTTAAATATTGTAATGTTAATATTTTTTTAAATTGAAATAGTTAATAATAAATACTAATTAATTTTATAATTACAATTTTATAATCTAATTTTTATTATAAATTACAAATTTATAATCTAATTTTAATTATAAATTACAATTTTTTAATTATAATTTTAAATAGTTAGTGTTAATAGTTTTTAATTACAATTTTTTATGTGAATAATTTTTAATTACAATTTTTATAATACATTTTTAAAAAATTTAATTATAAAATACTAATTAATAATAATTACATTATAAAAGTAGATTATAAGAAATGTAAATAATTTTAACTATTTAAGATTAAATTACAACAATAAAATTGATTAAATAAAAATACATTTCATTGGAGATGACCCCCAGTTCCACACCTAGTGGTCCTTCGCTATCTATATCCCCTGCCCAAACGCTCATTTCTAGGTGATTGAGATGAGTCGGAAGACATGTCTTCGTTGTGATGTGTTGTAGGGGGGTTTGCCTGTCGTGAAGAGGGTCCTGGTTGCTCATCGAGAAGATCATCAATGTTAAAATTTGGCATGTGCATCAGTTGCTCGTCTGTAAGCAAAAAAATTTGGAATGAGTGTGGTGGTTACGGGTAGGTTTCGGGTTGGGTTTGTTGAAAGGTTGGGTAGTAGACGTCATCAGGCGTGAAGGTCGAGGTGGGTTGAGAGAAGGTAGTGTTGAAGGTTTGATATTGGAAACGTGGGCCGGTCTGGTCAAAGTTGGGGGGTGGGACTGGGGTGAACTGCATGGGTGGTCGGAGGTAGGGTTAGGGCTGATATTGTTGGTTGTAGTGGTAGTTATAGTTTTGTTGAGGGAATGGATTATTGGGTGTTTGTTGTTGGTATGTATGTCGAGTTGGCGAGGATGCGTGCCCCCCAAATTGAGATGTGTAGGTTGGTGGCACATCCTGATGCACTGATGCGGCAGTCGGTTGTGTTGATGATGATGCTTGCGTGCGTGGGTCGGTCAAAAATTGTTCTGGAGCAACATGCACGTAAGGAATGACACGAAACCAAGCTAAATACTCTTGGCTTGGCTTGCGTTCACGTAATGCAGCTTCCCCCCGCAAAATCACATTTCTTCTGTGTCTCCATTCTCTCACCTCCTCCTTGTTTAACTCTCGCTAATTAACTTTTTGAGCTTTTCTCATGGTCATTGCGTGGTGTTCCCTTAGACACCTTGGCAGGGGAGGAATTTGTTGGTCTAATCCAAACTGGAGTCTTACCCTATCCGTTTGATGCATCTCAACGGTATAGAAACAAATAAGGTAAGTTGTTGCACTCCAGATTTGGCGATCTTTAAGACTGGGCACCGGATATTGAATGTACGGCCTCCATATAAACTGCCACATAAAAAAGAAAATTAAGAATACAATTAACGAGTAGAATCGACAACTGTTTTCATATGGTTTCAAACTTACATCTTGTTCTTGCATATGGTCAAATGCGTTTCGATATCCTTGAAGA